CTGTCTTCCAAATTTCTTGGCATAGATGAGCAAGTGCCTCTAGAGCAGCATCTGTTTGTTGAAACATCTCAGTGGGTATTTCGTCAATTCCTAGAACCTGGTTTTTCGCCAGTTCCTTCAGTGCAGCTTTGACTTCTTCCTTCAGTGTCTAAGTTCTTGATCATACGCCACCTCCTGAAATGGATGAACATTGACCAATTCTCTTTTGTACAATGACTCTGTATTCCTTCCATCTTCTTTTGATGCTTCCTACATCATTCAATATTTTGCCCATGGAATCCTTCAGTATTGCAACCCAAGACTTGAATTTTTTCTTCACTTCTTTCAGCTTGGGAAATGCTGAGTGTGTTCTTTCCTTTTGGTTTTCTAACTCTAGGTCTTTGCACATTTCATTATAGTAATTGACTTTTTCTGCTGGAGCTGCCCTTTGAAATCTTCCATTCTGCTCTTACCTTGTCATTTCTTCCATTTGCTTTAGCTACTCTCCATTTAAGGGCAAGTTTCAAAGTCTCTTTTGACTTCCATTTTGGTCTTTTCTCCCTTTCTTTTTAATGACCTTTTGCTTTCTTCATGGATGCTGTTCTTTTTTTTAATTTCATGTATACTGTTCTTGATGTCATGCCACAACACGTCTGATTTTCAGTCATTGGTGTTCAAAGCATCAAATGCTTTCTTCAGATGGTCTCTAAATGCAGGTGGGATAGAATCAAGGTCATATTTTGGCTCTAGTGGACTTGTTTAAATTGTCTTCAGCTTCAACTTGAACTTGCATATGAGCAGTTGATGGTCTGTTCCACAGTTGGCTCCTGGCCTTGTTTTGGCTGCAGATATTGAACTTCTCTGTTGCCTCTTTCCACAGATGTAGTCAATCTGATTCCTGTGTATTCCACCTTGTGAGGTCCATGTGTACAGCAGCTCTTCATGTTGTTGGAAAAAAGTACTTGCAATGAATAAGTCGTTGGTCTTGCAAAATTTTATCATTTACTCTCCAGCACTGTTTCTGTCACCAAGGCCATATTTTCCAAATACTGGTGCTTTCTCATTTCCAACTTTCTCGTCCAGTCATCAGTAATAACCAATACATCTAGATAGCATGTCTGGTCAGTTTCAGATGCAGAAGTTGGTAAAAATCTTCAGTTTCTTCATCTTTGGTTTTGGTGGTTGGTGCATAAATTTGAGTAACAGTCGTATTAACTGGTCTTCTTTGAAGGTGTATGGATATCATCCTATCACTGACAACATTGTACTTCAGGATAGATCTCAAAACATTCTTTGTGACGATGAATGCCACATCCTTCCTCTTCAATATGTCATTCCCGGCATAGTAGATCATAGGGTTGTCTGATTCAGAGTGGCCCAAACCAGTCCATTTCAGCTGACTAATGTCTAGGCTATCGATCTTTATGTGTTCCATTTCGTTTTTGACAACTTTCAATTTTCCTGGGTTCATACTCTGTACGTCCCATGTTCCGATTGTTAACGGGTGTTTGCAGCTGTTTCTTCCCATTTTGAGTCGTGCCCCGTCAGCACATGGAGGTCCCTAGAGCTTTACTCCATCCGTGTTGTTGAGGTTGACTCCACTCTGGGGAGGCAGCTCTTCCCTAACTGTATTCTCATCGGAGGGGCTCACCTTCTGGCACTGTTTCCGACTGTGTTTCAGGGCTATTCATGAAGTTTCCCAGCACTGTATCAGACAGCTTTTCACTGCTATTCATAAGGTTTCCACTTGGCCAGTTCTTTGAGAAGCGGATGGCCCCTTCCTTCTTCCCACTCTGTCTTAGTGTAGAAGCCCCACTGAAACCTGTCCACCATGGGTGACCCTGCTGGTGTTTGAAATACTGGTGGCACTGCCTCCAGCCTCACAGCAACACGCAAGCCACCACAGTGCGACGAACCGACATACAGGTGGTGGCAGCATCTCTCGCCAACCGCAGACTGCCTCGGTGAATTCAAGAATCATCTTCCTGCCCCATCCATCCCCTGCCCTTCAGGCCCTGGCCCAGCCTAGCGATGTTCTCTGGGGTTTGCGGAGTAGTTTCTCGCGGGTCTCTGGTCTTGGCCGCCTTCTGCTTTGCTCTTCAGCGTGCCCCCACAAGGAGCAGTGCACAGAGGCTGCGTGCAGAGCTGCAAGGCCTCTGTGGGCTGCTCTGTTGGGGAGCGTCCAGAGCCCCTGACTTCTGGACATGGTCTAATCCTTTTTGCTTTTGAACTTCACCTGCGTGGAATCATACCGAATGGACTCGGTGGAGGACGTTGGCTTTCCACTGAGTAGTGGCTTTGTAAGCGTCCTATTTCTGTGTGTGGCCGTTTGCCCTTGTGTTGTAGAGGGACACTGAGCACTTTGATCTGGGCTGTCGTGGATAATGTTGCTGTAACATTCCTGGAGGTATTTTTAAGTTGGACGACTACTGTTCAGGTGCATCTCTGGGGTTTTGATGAGCCGGGTGTGCTGCTGGCCGCAGCTCCCGTGCCTCAGGGGATGTACACGTGTCAGCATCGTGTACACAAGCACTTGGGAAACCGTCTGCCCAGCTGACAGCCCATCAGCACTGTGTGAGGTAAGGGAGTCAAGGTGCTTCTTGGCTTTCATAGCATTCGGCATTTTCTGTCTTCTTCTGTTTAGTTTCCTGCTGGAGGTGGTGGTGATATCGCATTGTGGCTTTAATTTGCATCACTGGTAAATCTGAAATGGCCTCTCTTCTTAAAACCCCTGATGGCGACAGAGTTAAGTCAGATACCAGGGCCCTAGCCTGTCCCCATGCTGTGCGCCACGGCCCTGACCAGCACCTGCAGGTGCGGCTCCTCCTGCCTCCACCACGGTGCAGCCTTGTCTGTCTTCAGCCAGCACCCAGCCCTAGAGTTACCGGGTCCTTCAGGCCCTGTCACACTTGGCACGTCGTCCCGTACACAGAGTCGTGCTGGGTTTGGAGTACGGCCTCCTCACGATGGGTCTTTGTGAGCTCGGGACACATTTTGGCAAACCTGCCCTGTCCTGTCGCTCAGAGGCCTTGCTCACGGTTTCCCAGAGACAGTCCCTGTCCGCTGCAGGCAGACCTCTTCACTTTGCTGACTGTGCCATTACTAAGTTGTCACGCAACTGCTGGTAACAGGAGCAGGCCTCGTGGTTTCCCAGAGACAGTCCCTGTCTGCTGCAGGCAGACCTCTTCACTTTGCTGATTGTGCCATTACTAAGGTGCATCTCTGGGGTTTTGATGAGCCGGGTGTGCTGCTGGCCGCAGCTCCCGTGCCTCGGGATGTACACGTGTCAGCATCGTGTACACAAGCACTTGGGAAACGGTCTGCCCAGCTGACAGTCCATCAGCACTGTGTGAGGTAAGCACAACTGCTGGTAACAGGAGCAGTCCGGGTCAAAGACCTGTCAGGTGGATGCCCCACTCGTCCACAGCCAGCAGCTGAGGCTCTTGTGCTGTGAGTCCTTTTGGACTCCTCGGGGGAGATGTGCACTCGATGGAATTTGTCTGCACAGTAGATGCTGTTCTCAGTCCTGCTTTTTATCACCAGGGTTGTTTTCTTTTCTTTTTGAATTGTTACTTGGTGAAAGTTTACAGGGCAAATTTGTTTTCCACTCAACAGTTTGTGTACCTTCGTTTCAGGACATTGACTGCAGTCCCCACAGTGTAAGAGCTGTCTTCCCACATCCTCCCTTCCCTCCTCCCTGTGTCTTTCTCATGCATTCCTCCCCCCTGAGCTTTCTCTCTGTGGAAATGCCGCCCTTCTGATCTCCCATGGTTGATTGTTCTAAAGAGTGCACCTCCCTGGTCTGAATGTTCGCCTCATAGGCCTTTTATTTGGCTGGGAGTGAATTCAATTCCAGGCCTGCAGGATGAAGAGGGGCAGTACTGTCAGGGGTCTCACCAGGCTCTATCAGAGCAGGAAGCCTGCTTTTTTTTTTTTTTTTAAATGATTTTGAGTTTTGTTCCACATTTTTCTCCCACCCTATCCAGGATCTCCTACACTGATCTCTTTCCAAGTGGTTGACAATGGCAGCTGGGTACCATCTAGTTTTTCTGTTCTCATGGTCACCTGGGTTGAGGTTCACATGGTCCACAAGTCCCTTGGACTAATTGTTTCCATGGGTCTTTGATATTCTTCATTCTTCTTTGCTCTGGACGAGATCAATTATTGCATCTTAGATGGCCTCTCTCAAGCTTGTAAAACGCTAGTTGCTACTCTCAGAGTACATGTAGAATAGTGCTTTTGTGGAGTATGTTACACCAGTTAAGCTGGGTGTCCCCTGCGACCAGGGTCCTGAGCCTGCGGGCCCAGTGACTCACTCCCTCAAGTGGGAGTGAACCAAGAAATTATCATAACTTTACCCCATTAGGTCTGTTGTAAGTATGAACTTTCTCATAGCTCATACAAATGCTATGGAGAACGTTCATCCATATGGGGTCCGCCAATCTCCTGTGTGGTCATGGGCCTGTTCCCTTTGCCTAGACATCCCTGATCATCCAGCCTGTCTGCCTGTGTATCCACCTGTAGATTACTGTTTGTGATCACTGATAGTGCAGTGTTGCGTGTGCACAAGGGTTGATCTTGGGTGTCTGCACTACTGTGCACTTCTCTGTGTCTGTCGTCTTTTTCCTTCACGTTACTGTGTTGGTCACTCACTTTCGGTATATTGCCTTTCCCTTCACCCAGATCTGGACCTGTCTCTTATTTAGCAATTTTCTCTTCTCTCTCCTCTCATCCCTGGTAACCAACAAAGTTTCCTTCCATGTATTAACCCTTCCTTGACTTTTTACAAAAGTGGACTAATACAATGTTTATCCTTCTGTGACTGACTGACTTCACTTAGCATAATGCCCTCCAACTTCATCCACAGATTCTTTGTTACTCTTTAGTGTTGCATAGTATTCTATTGCATTATGTGGGTTTTACATCTTTTCGCAGGATAGCCTGTTTGAACAAATTTGGCAGAGTAAAACACTACTCAGGGCCGTGGATGTTGGCTGCCGTCCTGGGCACTAGTGCCGGGTATGGCCGCTGCTGACTGGGGTAGAGTGCGGACACCTGCCAGGAACCTCGGGCCTTACCTGTAGGCCCCAGTGTGGGCATAGTACCATGACTGTACCAGGACTGCAGGGCCAGGGTCCTGTCTGTCCTCTGGTCTCCGCAGAGCCCAGCTACTACTGATGGTCAGTGGTGTTGGGAGTTCTCACCCATCCTGTGAATCTTGTGACCTGTGAGCTTACAAGCTGGTCAGAAGGTGGCATCAGAGGACATAGGACCCAGCCCAGGACCTCTGCTGATAGTGGTGAAGGGTGAGGATTCTCTTATCAGGATATGAACACCCAGGTTAACAGTCTACACAGTCGAGTGGCTGCGGTGTGCACCACGGCCCAGGCTTCACGGAGTGACCGTGGTGTGTACCGTGGCCTGGAAGTCTGTCCTATATCAGTTGCTCAAGGAAGCCCAACTTGTTTCGGTGTTATTTGAGTGGCACCTTTATTTGGTTTAAATAATCATTGCCACAAGTGTTACAGATGCTCTTAATGCCACGTTCACAGGTTTCACTCTTTGTTGGTTTTTCACTCATAAGCAAAACAGCACAATATTTGGTTTGATTTAATAAATATTCTTAGTACCAGTATTGATAATAGTTTTTCTGTAAATTATGCTGTTAACGTTGGCTTTGCTCATCTTTCATTTTATGATTGGACTGGGGACCAGGAGGGGCCACCCCAAGGTGCTGGGGAGCCCAGGTACCCTTGGACCAACACGGACTCTGTCCGTCCCTGATGCCCTGCAGCTCCCAGCCCTGATAGCTGGCCTTGGCAGCTGCTGACCACGTGTGTCAGTGGTCAGGAGACCCAGGCAGACTCATGCAGGAGGTGCTGCTGTGCCATTCTTGGTACTGGTCTCATGGGGCACATGCTGGGGCACACAGGGACAGTGTGTCCATCAGCGGTCAGTGGTCTGGGTGACCCATCTGTCAGGGAGGCAGAGGGAGTGAGGTCTGTTTCCTCTAAGTGTTGAGTGGTGAATGGCCTATGTGTGTGGAAGGCGTGAAGTGGACCTGGGGTGCTCTTGGTGGACTCCGGTAACTCTTGAAACACATACTGCGTTGCATGGGGGATGCTTGAGGAGACCTGGGTCAGGGCATCTGCCTTTTCTCCCGTGGCTCCCTGTCTGCTCAGGGGAGCGGGAGGCCTCTAATGGAGAGGCCTTGGTTTCTTCCTTCACTGAGAACCTCCAGCTGCACTGCTTGATATAGTGGCATTTGCGTCTTTGTTTCCAATCTGCCGCTAGACTTAGTTTAAAAGGAGTAACAGGGTGAGTGAGTCTCCTGTCTCGCCTGTGTGGCTGTCTGAACACCGTCTTCCAGCCTGAAATACCTTGCTTGTGGTCTTTATTCACCGTGCCGTCCCCCCGGCAGGCCCGAGGCCAACCTGTGGAGTGGACTCTCCCTGGCCAGGTGTATGTGGAAGTGGGTGGTGTGCAGCGTCTGACCTGGACTGAAGGGTGGCTCATGTCGGCCACTCAGGAGTGTGCCCTCCATCCTCCCGGGCACTGCCTCCTGTCCGGCCACACGTGTGCACTCAGCTCTCTCTCCTTCCAGGTGCACGTTCCGGTTCCCCAGCACGAACATCAAGATAACCTTCACCGCTCTGTCCAGCGACAGGAGGGAGAAGCAGGAGGCGTCCGTGTCCCCAGTGAAGCCTGTGCAGCCCCAGATCTCACCCCTGACCATCAACATTCCAGACTCCATGGCCCACCTCATCAGCCCCCTGCCTTCCCCGACGGGCACCATCAGGTAGGGGCGGTTCTTGTGTGCAGCGCAGGGCATGTGCACGGGACGCACCTGGCTGTGCTCACATTGGATACACGGCCACCTGATCAGCCCCCTGCCTTCCCCGACCGGCACCATCAGGTAGGGGGGGTTCTTGTGTGCGGCGCAGGGCATGTGCATGGGACGCACCTGGCTGTGCTCACACTGGATACACGGCCTTCCTCATGTGTCAGAGACCCAGCCGGCGCACAGACAGGCTTGTGCTGTCACTTGGCCCGTTCCTGGGGCCGATGGACACAGAGAAGGGGTCGTTAGTTAGTTAGTTTCCAGACTTGCTCTCAGTTCCCTGCGGTGTTCATTCCTAAGCTCTCGTGGTTTTGTGTGTGGAATTTCGTTAATCATTGTCAGTTTAAGGGCAGGTAGATTTGTGATACTTGTTTAAATCTGAGGTTTTGATTTGACTTTTGAATTTTCTTAGTTTGCTACAATTTCACCAGCAAAGATCGTCCATTCCCAGATGGGGTTAGGACCCCAGGCAGAGGTTAAGACCGACACCACGTATTTTGGGGGGACACACTTGTTCTCTGGTTTGGCCACTTTGACCACATTAAAATGACAGACATGGCCCCCTAAGGAGGACAGTCATGCTCTGGCCGCAGAGATCCATGCTGACCGAGTGCAGCCTCCCTGCTGTTCACGACACATCCTCCAGGAACAACGGGGCCTACAGCTCAGAGCACTCAGTGGGGTTCATGGACGCTCAGAGAAGCCCACAGTTGTGTGTGGGTCAGGGTAGGGGGCAGAGGGGAGGTGGGCTCATGGCAGAAGGCCTGTCTCACTGTTTTTCACCTCAGTGGAGCATGTATTTGGGCGTCTTGTTAGGGATAAGGGACTCCAGTGGTTGGCTGTAGATGGCTCGCCCTGCACGTGGGAGACCCGAGTTCTCTTCCCGGGCAGTGCTCATTCTGCACAGCCCCTGCCCACATGTCACCCACCTGTCGGTGGCGCTTGCTGCCACTGTGATGCTGAACAGGTTCCGGTGGCGTGTTCAGGCTGAGACAGACTGGGGAGGAAAGCCTGGCGGTCTGCTGCAAAGCCCAGCCAGTGAACCCTGTGGGTCACAACAATTTGGTTTAGCTGTTCTGTCAGGCATGGAGGGGCCACCACAGCCCCGGGTGTGGAAACACTTTTTGTCTCGAGGGTCGGCCTCGCACGGCACAGGTCCCAGCGAGGGGTGCTGTGGAGACAGGCTTGTTCCCGTCAGCTCAGAGCTGTCCCTGGGGTGTGGAGGCCGAGGGGAGGACGCATGGAGAACCTGGCAGCCCCTAGGCTCCAGCTTCAGAGCACACGTCTGTCCCCAGGAACCAGCACTGACCATGGCCTTGTGGAAAGACAGCTGGGCCATGCCTGCTCTGTGAGGTTCCCTGTGCGGTCCTGTGCTCAGTGCCGTTGGGACTGTGGTTTTCTGAACCCACGGTGGACAAGCCGTTGGGAGTGTCAGGAGCTGCCTCCCTGTTTCCACTCGGTTGGATTTGTCCACATGTGACTAAGTGGACACAAACATGCAGGGCCTGTCCCGTGCCTCAGTTTCCCCGCTGGTGAAACACACAGGCCACCATGTGTTCTCTCACTGGTCTTTGACATGAGCCCTTTAGTGCTGGTGTCCAGGCTGGCTACTGGAACGTGCTGACGCCTGCTCTGAAAGTAACAGGAACACCGCTTTGTCGCCCACAGCGCTGCAAACTCCTGCCCGTCCAGCCCCCGTGGGGCGGGGTCTTCGGGGTACAAGGTGGGCCGTGTGATACCGTCTGACCTCAGTTTAATGGCTGATAGCTCGCAGCCAGAGAACGAGAAGGAGCCCTCAGGTGGAGACAGCCCGAAGGTAAATGCTTTATAGGCCGAAGGGAAATGCTTTACAGGCTGATGCGGGGCCCAGGATGGTGGGGGCCTCCCTGAGCTCGGTGCGCTGCCCAAGTGTCTGACAGCGCCTGCCACCAGGGTGCCTTCGGGGTGCTCACTGAGCAAGGGGACTATGTCCTCAGGGTTGGGCTTCACCATGTATCCCTTCAAGCTGTGAGGACACGACCTGGCCACGTGCTCAGGAAATGGTCGCTGGGTAAAGGGGTGCCGGTGTTATCAGTGTGCTGACCACCAAGTGCAGGAGGGACCCTCACCTGTGGGGAAGCAGAAGTGGCCCCTTCCTCCTGCCTGTGCTCTTTGACCCTGTAGTTCCATAAACAGTGTGGATAGGGTTCCTTTTTCCGACTTTGCCTGAACAGCACTGTCTTGAGTGGGTTCTTTTGCAGTTAACTTTTGTTACTCAGCTTATGTTTTGTTGTCATGCCTGTTGATACGTGTATCTCCCACAAGTTCAAAAGTAGGTGGCTGCCCCTCCCCTGGTGTGCTTGTGCAGCTCTGTGGGCACCAGGCTTGTCATAACAACAGGGAGCCACTAAGGCCTTGGGTGGGTGGGGTCTGGGCTGCCCCCATGCCGTGGGTGCAGGACAGTCCCACCGTTTGCATCCATGTATCTGTGCCATATGCCTGTCTGTTGTTTGGCTGGCAGCCAGGGGAGTAAGTTCAGTTTCAGACCTGAAGTGTAACTATGATCCATCATCTCGGGGTCTTACCAGGCTCTATCACACCAGCAAACCTAGTCTTTTTTTTTTATCATGATTTTGAGTTTTGTTCCACACTGTTCTCCCACTCTATCCAGGATCTCCTGCACTGATCCCCCTCTGAGTGGTTGACACTGGTGGCCAGGCACCATCTAGTTCTCCTGGTCTCCTGGTCAGTCGTATAGGCTGAGGATCACACGGTCTACTAGGCCTTTGGACTAACTGGTTCTATGCTTTTTTGGTTTTCTTAATTCTGCTTTGCTCTGAATGAGGAGAGACCGACCCATTGTTACATCTAGATGGCTGCTTGCAAGCTTTTAAGACCCTAGTTGTACTTGCTGAAGAAGGATGTAGAATGTTTTTTTTAGTACGTACACCAGTTGATTTTGCCGTCTCGACCACGGTCCTGAATCCACAGATCCGGCTCCTCGCTCCCTCAGGGCAGCCGCTGTGGCCAGATTGAGTTTTCCTTATTTCTTCCTTTTGCCATTTGCATTTTCTTAGGTGATTTTTCATTCTCCTTTTTCTGTTCTGTACTTCTCCATTGTTTCTCCAAGTTCTGTCCAAATTACATTACCTTGAGGGTAAATAGAAACATAGAGAACACTGTCTTTACAGCAGGTCTTAAAGCAGTGAGGACCCCTCGCCGGAGCGGAGTCATGATGATTTACCGTGTGTGGTGATGAAATGACGACCCCTCCCCGGAGTGGAGTGGTGACACACTGATTTAGCGTCTCTCCTGCCTTTTCTGTACAGGATGACTCCAAGCCACCGTACTCCTATGCACAGTTAATAGTACAGGCAATCACAAGGGCTCCTGACAAGCAGCTCACCCTGAATGGGATCTACACGCACATCACCAAGACCTACCCCTACTACCGGACCGCGGACAAGGGCTGGCAGGTAGGCCCGCCTGGCGCCCACGTGCCGTGCTGCGTCTGGCTGATGGTGGCTGGCACCGGGGCGGGAACCAGGCTGCTGTGTTCCAGGCAGGCAAGGCTGAGAGGTGGAGTCAGTCAAGTGAGGTGCTCTTAGCTGAGAGAGAGTCGCGTGCAGAGCCTTGCAGAGCATCAGGAGACACTGTCCTGGAGGACACTTTGAACTTGCACGTGTCCTTACGCGTGTGTAGTGCCTACGAGGGCTGGCACACTTCTCTCGGCCAGTGTGGAGAGCTGAGCTCGAGGGGCTACCCGGTTCCACTCTGCACTGTACGTCTGCTCCCCGGGTGTCTCCTCAGAGCACGTGGCCAGGCCAGTGCGCGGCAGGACTGTCATTAAGCTCTCGCCCCACCAGTGTTCAGCTTTGCCTCATACAGGTCCTTCCCGTTGTGTGTCTGTGACCACTGGAGTATCTCTCAGCAGATAGAATCTAAGACCCAAGAGAAGATGGGCATGTGTGGCTTTTAAACTCATTAAGCAGCAGGAGAGGCTGCAAAGTTCTTTTGAAGCTTGGAGAAACGTGTCTGTTGAACCTCCAGGTTCACCCGGTGTGGCGAGGTGAGGTGGGATGGGGCAGATGCTGCCTGGCAGTGGGTGAGGCTTTTTGTTTATCACTGAAGCTGGAGAAACATGATAAAACAACAGTCTGTCAATCAGATGCTCCACGTTCCTTTGTAGGGGCTAAGGGCCTCCCCTCACGGACAGTGCAAATGAGCCCCAGCGTCCCCTGCCCGTCAGTGCCCCCACTGGCCGTGAGCATGCACAGCAGGTCAGCCTTCCTTGGTTGGACCTAGAGTGCACTGCCACCTTCAGCCCCTGCCAGAGTTTTGGCATACCTCACATGGACTCGAGCAGCCTTGGCCGTACTTGAACCTACAAGGTGAGCCCACTGCCCGTGGACTTGAGCAGCCTTGGCTGTACCTTAATTATAAGAGTGAGCACACTGCCCATGAACTCAAGTGGCCTTGGCTGTCCTTGAACCTACAAGAGTGAGCCACCGCATGTAGACTTGGGCAGCCTTGGCCATACCTTAATCACAAGAGTGAGGCTACGCTTAAAGCGAGCTATGAAACGAGAGTGACGTGGATGAGCACTCACCCGGAGCGTCAGTGGCCAAAGTGTTGTCCTGAGAGGGGTGCCATGCTGATCGGAGCTCAGCTGTGAGGTGGGCTCACAGACACTCTGTGGCTCAGCGGAGTCCAGGAGCGGTGCGTTCCATGCGGAGTCTGGCTTCTGTTGGCTCTTGGCCTTGGACTCCCTCCTTCTGGTCGCTTGGAATACTGAGCCTTTATGGCAGCGAGTGTTTCTGAATCCTCGACCAGACCCCGAACAGCCTGTCTGCATTGCGTCCTAGTTCCCGTGTGCGGCTGAACACATTCTAATTCAGATATGGCCGCCTGAGCACTGCCAGGCTGAGGAGGGAGGGCAGCCCTCAGAGGCCTCTCCCAGCCAAGTCCCTGGGGTGGAAGGAGGAGTCTGCGGGGCCTCCCTCCACTGACGCGGGGCCTCCCTCCACTGACGTGTGACCTCACGCATGTTTTAAGAGTCCCTCTTCCCTCACTGGGTCCTCATTGGCTCTGGCCTCTCGCTCACAGACACATGTCCAGTTGCTTTCTGTCCTGACCATGGCTGCCTCTAACCTGTCTGTCTGGGGCAGCACCCACATTTCCCTCAGCCCCCCACACAGCAGCAGGGCAGCCAGCGTCCCCCCACATATCCACTTCCTTCCTAAGCAGACTTGGTGTCAGCTGGGGCTGTGCACGCACATGTGTGCACGTGTGCCCTGCTCGGGAAGGACCGAGTGGTGCCCTTGACACCAGACCTCTGCCTGTTGTGGGCTCACTGAGAGCCCATTCCAGAGGGGCTGCGTGTGAGGCCTGTCCAATCCCTCCCTCCTGGCTTCAAAGACGCTTTTCCATTTAGCAACCTGTTTCTTAAAAGAGTCTGAGCCCTTTTTTGAGCACCCCATTTTAAAAGAGCCTGCACTGCTCTCCCGATGGCGTGGTGGGGCGTATTCTCCTTGGGAGGGCCTCTGGTGCCTGGCCCCGGTGGGCATGGGGGAGAGCCGTTTATGCCCCTGCCCGATGCTCCCATACTGCCCACAGAGGGCGCTCAGTACTGCTCACCTGTCTTGAAGGCTTTGGGGGTTTTGCAGTGTTTCCCCATCATGGCTGCTTGATCCATTGAAACCCAATGTGGAGAGAGAGAGAGAGAGAGTTCTTTCCTGTGGATGCATTTTTCTACCACAGTGTTTTCTTAGGATTTTCTGAATTATCATTGAACCCAGCCCCGAGTTGTGAAAGTTGGAAGAACTAGGCTCTTGGCTTCTAAAGGGACCAGAATGGGTTTCTCTTTGGAGAGTTGGGGTGTTCTGCACCCCCATCCTTTGCAAGCACTCCTGCATGTTGGACTCCTCACAAAGCTGGTAGTAGTTTTCCTGCTGGACACAACAGGATGCACTCTTCGAGAAGTTGACAAGGGCTCCCTACGGTCCTTCCTGGGTGGCAAGCTTCTGAAAACACACGTGCACACAGCCCAACGTGTGTGCACAGCCCCAGCCAACACCAGGTCTGCTTAGGAAGGAAGTGCATATGTGGGGGGACCCTGGCTGCCCTGCTGCTGTGGGGGGGGGGGGCTGAAGGAAGTGTGGGTGCTGCCCCAAACGGATGGGTTAGGGGCACCACGGTCAGGAGAGGCTCTGGGTGGGAGGCCGCTGGCTCAGTGCAGCACTGAAGGACAGCCACCTGCCTCTCTGAATCCAGGTGGCAGCTGGGCATGTGCCACCAGATGAAGGAGGGCTCCTGCTGGGCCTGCTGAATGGCAGAGGCCTTGAGCTGCCTCAGAAACGGCTCCCTTCTCCTCTGTGCATGTCTGCACGACACGTCTCCTACTGCTCACCCGGGTTTTAGAGTCTCGTCTGAAGAATCCTGGCTGATGTTCGTGCTGCTGGCCGGGCCAGGTCGTCTTGTCAGCGGCTTAGAGGCGAGAGGACGGTACGGGCGGGGCGTCATCACACTTCCAGAACTGGAATGGCAGCCCCTGGTGCTAAGCACAGCTGCGGTGCCCTGTTCCGTGCTCCGTCGTGGGCTGGAGGTCCTGCCCGTCTGACGCTGGCCGATTGCCCTCTCGGTCAGCGCACTCCTGCCTTACGTGGTCTGGCTGGGAGATCCTGTGCGTCTCTGCGTGGGGCCGGGTCCCGACGACAGCGAGGATGCAGCTGTTACCCGTCGTGGGGTAACTGGGGCAATGGCCCTGCCCACGGCAGGGCGTTCTGTGCCACCGTCTGGTTTGCGTTCCTGGATCCGGTCTTGTAGTCTCCCTTCTGCTCCAGACTCAACAGGCCATCTGGGCAGTTGGTACAGGTCCCTCCTATCTCTCGATGCTCTGAGGGAATTGATAGAAAGCTGTTGCTTGGTGACCAGCTGCATCCTGGGGTATGCCATCATAGCAGGTGTCCATCTGTGAGGACGTTTTAAAGGTCCTCTCCTGAGCAGTTTCAGAAATCACAGACACGCCCACACCTGCCCTCTCAACCCTAAAGCCCACAGGGTGGCTGCAGAGTGACCCGGACATGTGCTTCCACGTCAGATCTCCCTTGCACACCAGGACCTCAGGTGTGACTGCAGTTCTGTGAAAACGTCAACTGGGGATCTCAGAGCCAGTTAACACTCTCGTGGTTTATTACTCGAACACCCATGAATGTGGATGTGTGAGGTGCTGGTGTAAATGTGGGCCGTCTGCTGGCTTTGGCCATGACCTGGGACAGAGAAGCTATCCCCAAAGGTGTGGCCTTGGGAGACCCCAGGCAAGCTCTTGTCCAGTGGTCTATAAACTGCTGACTGAGGTTCTGTGACCGCATGAGAAACAGACTAGGAGGTAAGAACAGGGCTGTCTCTGTGGACTCCCTCCAGTGAGGGCAGGGGCCCCATGGGCAGAGATACTGCCACCAGTAGGTGGCTTCCCTTTTGCTCTTGGCCTTTGTGCATTTTGCTCCTTGCTCATCTGCCACACGCTGGTGCCAGGTCCATGGCCTGTTTCCGAAGGATGGGCAGGGCACTGAGGCTGGGACTCTGTCTGCGCTGGTGGTACCTGCTCACGTGTCTGTTCCTGAGCCCCGTTCCTCGGGTCTCCCCCACCATTCTGCTCTCTGTCCCAGCCCACCGAGGTGGTGACGGCAGTTTCCACTGTGCAGGGCACTAAAACTGGGACGTGCTTTTACTTCTCAGCAAAGAGATGAATTCTGTGTATTTTTGTTTATATTTCATAGAATTCGATCCGTCACAACCTTTCTCTGAATCGGTATTTCATCAAAGTGCCACGCTCCCAGGAAGAACCAGGCAAAGGCTCCTTCTGGAGGGTGGACCCTGCCTCCGAGAGCAAGCTGGCGGAGCAGGCGTTTAGGAAGAGGCGGCCTAGGGGCGTGCCTTGCTTCCGGACCCCCCTGGGACCACTCTCGTCCAGGTGAGCACACAGACCGGCTCAGCCAGCGCCTTCAGTGGGCTGGTTCTTTTACTGATGATGAATGCAGGGGGATGTGGGGAGGAGGGTGGGACAGGACCCAGGTAGTTTTGTCTCCAGTGGTGCCAGCGCTTCAACTGAAGGTGCCGTAAACACGGTCAAGTGCCGTGAATGCTGCTTCACTGCACCCGTCGCGTTTGTTAACGGTCAGCAAACGACAGTTCCCCACTGACCGAGACTTGGTTTTCTCTTACCTTTGGCAGGTGAAAAGTTTTTGACAGATAACCTTTTAGCTCCATAAGTTCAAGACTGTTACTGTGTTAACTTTGCCTGAGTTTGAAATTACATTTTTAGCTTCATTAATACTTTATTTTTAAACAAATAATGTCATTGTTAAGCCCCAGCCTGTCTGCTGGCCATGGCCCCGCTGTCTGACAGGAGCGGCTGGTCCAGTCCCATGGCTACATGGCCTGCACTGGGTGCAGGGCCGTGGTGCTAGCTCACCCCATAGGGCCTGTCATAGCTCAGAGAAGTTTATGCCAAGGACACGTGTGCATTACGACAACCAGGCAGCCGCCAAGGGCTTTACCTGTTAACACCCACTAGCTGCTGCTCTCTCGTCTTCTCTTGACAACACAGAAGTGCCCCTGCCTCACCCAACCATGCAGGAGGACTGTCTGCTCACTCCAGCGGCGCACAGACCCCCGAGAGCCTGTCGCGGGAGGGCTCACCCGCGCCCCTGGAGCCTGAGCCGGGAGCGGCCCAGCCCAAGCTTGCGGTCATCCAGGAGGCACGGTTCGCCCAGAGCGCACCAGGTGAGACGCACCAAGGTGCCAGGCACTGCCATGCAGAGGCCCCACCACAGCTACAGGAAGGCCAAGTTTCCACGAGTTGTTGCTTTGCAGATCGGCTGAGGTACCTTGTCGCTAGTTCTTTTCACATAAGGTCCCGGCTCGTCCTGCAGGCTCGGGGAGGCCACAACACTGGAGCTTTTGGAGTCAGTCATCTTTCATAATGTAGAATTGGGCTGTGTCACACTTCACTCCCTGAAAATCCATGAAAATGTCTCCCCGACACGGCACATCACACACGCTAGACGGAATGCTTCCAGCGAGCAGGGAGGTGCGTGGCAGCGTGCTCCCAGCCCCAGGTTCCGTGTGTCTTTCCAGGCTGAGCAGAGAACCAAAAGGCGTTTGGTGGGTGGTAGAGGCAGTGTCTCAGTACACTGTTGTTAAACTGTCTGAGGGCGTCCCTTGGCAGGTCACCAGGTGAGTGTGGCCCTCGCTGTTCCAGCCTACAGGACAGATTCTGTGCACATCCCATACACGGACACGGTCCTCTCCGTGAGGAGGGATGCTTTAAGAAGTTTAAACAGAGGAGAAAGTATGTCCTTAGAACTCAGACCAGGAAGGGACTGTAAAAATATTGGGATCCTGGGGGCATGCCCAACTGCCGACCGAAGAGCCTAGCATCTCAACAGCCAGTGTGGGAAGCCCAGTTCTGCTGTGGCCATCGGGTGGCCACAGGCTGGGGCCGACTCCTCGGCCGATTTTCTGTTAAAACTGCCATCTCTTCTCTACGCCAGAGTCTTGCTGTTCTCGGGGGGTGGGCAGCCCCTGGTACGTAGGGAGCATCATTGTTTTGGTGGTGTCCTTAGCAGGGACACTATGCCCTTGTCTCTCCACAGGTTCCCCTCTGTCTAGTCAGCCTGTCCTGATAACTGTGCAGCGGCCGCTTCCACAGTCGATGAAACCTGTCACCTACGCAGTGGCCGCCCCCGTGACAACTTCGACCTCCCAGCAGCCCGTGGTGCAGACAGTCCACGTGGTCCACCAGATTCCTGCGGGGGCGGTCACTAGTGTGACCGGGTTAGCACCAGCAAACACTTACACGGTCGCTGGCCCAGCAGTGGTCACCCAGGCAGCTGTGGTGACCCCGCCCAAGGTGGAGCCCCAGGAGAATGGGGCTCATGGAGAAGTGAAAGGTGAGGGGGGCGTGCCGGTCCCTCGACCCCTCTGGGCACTCCAGAAGCCACTTTGCAGAACCAGCCCCCTTTTCTTGTCTGTCACCTCACTCTGTCCTCTGAGTTGTGTCTCTCTCTTCCCTCACATCAGTGAAAGTGGAGCCTCTCCCTGCGATTGGCCACTCCCCTCTGGGGGCCGCTGGCCGGGTCATCCAGACGTCCCAGCCCGGTCCTGTCCAGACGGTCACCATTGTGCAGCAGGCACCTCTAGGCCAACACCAGCTACCAATAAAAACTGTAACTCAGAATGGGACCCACGTGGTACCAGTGGCCGCTGCAGTCCATGGACAGGTGAACAGTGGTAAGTATCACTCACCCAGCTGCATCTCAGGTGCGAGGGACTAGAGCTGAAACCCCAGGAGCCGTAGTCCAAGAAAGGAGAGCTCTGTTTTGGTTCTGACTACTGCCGTGTGAATGCTTTTCTGAGGCAGCGTTAATGTGTCCTGGCTATGGGCCTCCAGGGAATACTGCCTACTACCCGGGTGTGGCCAGGACGGCCCGTTCGGGATTCTCGTTTCTGGAGCCGTCTGAAAAGGAGCAGGGTGCCGGACGTGGTGCGGCCACTGCAGTGGCCCGCCTCACAGGGCCCTGGGGGTGTGGAGATGGCCTGTGGCGCGGCTGGTGGCGCTCAGCTTCAGTGGCTCTGCTGCCCAGGAGCACCCCGAAGGGCCAGGTGTGGCTGCGCACCAGCCCAAGTCGTGGGGTGCTGGGGGCTTGTGTTTCGTAGACTGTTCACAACAGGCCCTCATCCAGAGACAAGCCAGATGGGACCACGGAAGGTGGAGCGTCATTTTGCTTGACAGTAACTCGGGATTTGTAGTGAGGGTTCAGGATGTTCCCCGGAACCTGGCTCTGCTGCATTATGTAGTTTTAGCAGATGGTCTCCTACCTCGTCATGGCCACAGACCCTCTGACGATCACGCCAGCTTGTCTCCAAGGGGCCGGGGACATGCCCAATCTAAGTACAGGATTAGCTGATTAGGCTGTGAAAAATCAAAAAGCCCTTGCACACACAACCCTTCATGCACACACGGACCCAGCAAGGGCTGCCAAGTGGCCGTGGGCCATCAGCTATGTCTGTGGATTTACAGTGACTTTAGTAAACGGTCGGCATCAGTGGTGACACGAGGCTTCCCGGACATCTGTCCTGGTTCTTCATGGGGTCTCTGGTCCTTGTCCTGACAGCATGTCCAGCGTGGGGGATGAGTTGTACCCTCAGCACGATTGGTTCAGTCCAGTTTCCCACAGGGGCCATGCACTTTCTCCTGGGAAGGACCAGGCCATGGGGGAATGTAGACCTGACTCTCTGGATGTTGTATTCTGTGGCTGTTGAGGATACACACAGCAGGCCGTGTGCAAGTTCAGCAGTTCCTTGACTTGGATGACATCCTTCAAGCTCTACACCCATTCTCATGCACTTTTTCTAAGTTATTCTTTCACCAACAGAATCACTGTCCCTGAAGTTCCTGTCTTTCAGTTGCTGTTGTCAGGTTGCTCTCATACAGACAGATCTTAAAGGGACCCAGTGCTTGAAGCAGATGCTCTCACTAGATAAGCTCAGCTGTTGTTGGGTTTAAAGATTATGTCAGGGCAAGAGTGTCGGGCTCACCCAGCCTCCCTGGCTCCAGAAGGTCTAGTGTCCGTGAGAATTTTAAATTCTCTCCTACTGAGCTTTTGATCAAATGTTGAGTGATGGTAGCTGGGCCCCATTCAGATCTCTGATCTCCTGGCAAAGGAGGCAGTTGTTCATGAAGGTGACTGGCCACACGTTCCACATCCTGCTCCTCCTATTCCTGAATCATCATCTTTCTCTGTTGCTCCAGGTGAACAGAGAACGTTTGTTGTGTCTTGGGTGGCTGCTTGCAAGCCTTTACGGGCCTAGGTGCTATGCAGTGAACTAGGCAATAGAGCAGAAGCAGTAAACACATTGTTAGGCTAGTAAACTGGGGTGTCCCATGAAACCATGACCCTAAACCTCCAAGGCAAGGAACCAATCCTGTGAGGTGCTGGTTGTGTAGGATACGGCTGACTTTAGGAAACGGTCCACACGTCTCCAGTCCCGTTGCACCGTGTCACATGCACTGCCGTCAGCAATGTGGGAGTCCAGCTGTCCACGCCCTCGTTGGGACTTGCGGGCTGTGCATCTCTTAGCATTCTAGTTTTCTGGTTTCGTCGACTTACAGTTGATTGTCCGAGTGATTACTAATGGTGAGCAAGTGGTTTTGTGCCCATCTAACAACCGAACTTCTTCCGGGTCTCTCACCTAGGTCTTCACTTGAGCTCTTCCTGCTGAGCTGTCGGGTTTCTGAACGTACCCAGACACAGGTCTTTTGTCTGATGGACACTTGGCAGCTGTTTGCCCCCAGTCTGTGGACGGCCTCTCCATTTCATAATTCTGTTTTTTGAAGAGCAGGATGTTACACTCTGAGGAAGCTTGCTTGGCCATTTTTTCCTGCTCCTTGCATGTGAAAGACCTCTGTGAGACCCAAGCTCACTGTTTTCTTATAGGTGTTTTATAGTTGTAGCGCTTACACTTAGGTCTGTGGTCGGTCTCCGGTTACGTTCAAGGTCAAGCTTCGTTTCCCCCGACAGAGAACTGGTTGTCCAGCACCATTAGTTGGCAGGTGACCCTCTCCACCAGCTGCCTGGTCATCTGTCAGAAATCACTGGACCACCATGTGCCATCTCTCTGCGTGGCCAGCGGCCTTCTCCCTCCTGCCTTGATTCCCATTGTGTTGTCAAGTCTTTTCAGAGTTGTTTTGGCCATGCTAGCTCCCTTCCATTTCCATATGGACTTCAGAATCAGCTCGTCAGCTTCTACGTAGGCACTCGCTGGGATTTTGATAGGGGGGTGGTGACCCTGGAGAGGCACGCGGAGCAGCTGGCCCACCAGCACTGTGCCTTGATTGGAAACTTGGCCTCTACACGTCGTTATCCCCATGAGCTGGGCATCTCAAAGCCGGCTCTTCTGTATCTGCACAGTGAGGGAGGCCTGGGCTGCAAGGGCCAGGAAAGGTCAGTGGGACTGAGCTGTGGGGGTGGAGGGAGGGGCGTCAGGCAGGATCACAGGTCTGCAAGGGGGCACTTTGTCCAGTGCAGTGTGGCTGGGCAGGGAGAGGGCAGGGCATGGAGCTGTCAGGCGGGACCTCCGGAGCCTGTGCAGAAGCTGGGAGTATGCGAGTGCCCGCAGAGCAGATACGGTGAAGCTCACGGGCCAGCTTGGGCACGTGTGTTACCGACATCAAAAGCCCGCCTGTGGCACCAGATCCTGTTGGACGCTGTGTGTCGAGGTAACACCTGCTGGCCAGGGTCTCCACCCTCACCCTGTCCTCATGTGCAGAGGTGCTGGAAGTGGTGGGGGTAGGGGTCACCAGCAGCAACTCTGGCTCCCGAGTATCCCAGTTGCTCACTGCCCCTCAGATGGCCTTGTTTTTGTTCCGAGCATGCTGTTTATTCGAAGAACATCCTGCCTCCCCCCATGGGGAGTGTGGGCTGCCGTTCTGGCCAGGCCCCTCCCTTGCTTCTCTTCCTCTACTGGTGGGCGGGTACAGGCGTCTGCCTGTGGTCCTGATTCGTGTTCTCTTTGCAGCCGCTGCAAGCCCCTTACACATGCTGGCGACCCACGCGTCGGCGTCGGCATCCCTGCCCACCAAGCGTCAGAACGGCGAGTCGCCGGAGCAGCCAGAGCTGAAGCGGATCAAGACAGAGGACGGGGAGAGCATCGTCATTGCTGTGAGTGTGGACACACCACCTGCAGCCACGCGGGACAAGGGCGTCCAGAACTAGGACCGCGTTCTCCCTTCAGAGCGTCAACTGTGGTGCCAAAAGGAGGCGCCCTGGCCCCGCGTCGGACGTCCGCACTCAGCGGTCAAGGGCCCTGCGGTTGGACTTCACCCCTAAGCACTGAACACGCAAACCCAGGTGGCCTTAAGACTCCTTAACGTAACAGGTCTCACTTGAAGAAAACCACACGCGGCAGAGCTCCAGAGGCCGTGGTCTCCCTCCTGCCTGACCTCGCCGGCCGCAGCGCTGCTCAGCCTCCAGGCCCCACGCCAGGACCAGCGTCTCTGGGACAGTGCACAGGGGCAGAGGCGAGCCGCCCACCCGCCACCCCACGGGCCCCGCTGCGGCCGGCCCTCATAGACAGTGTTTGTTGTTCACATATGGAGTTAGAGGACTTCGAGGTGAACTTACTTTCTTTACAAAATAATGGGGTCATTGACATTTCAAACCCCTCCGTTTCTACTCTGGAAATTTCAGAATCACACTTTTCATGTGAAATTTCACTTGGGGAAAATAATGCAGTTTTTGTTGTTTGTTTTCAGCCATGGGACTCTTTCCTCTCGTCGGTCCTGGTAGGGTTCAGCTGACATGGCGCTGTGGTAGCTGCAGACTCTGTGCATCAGGGCAGCCCCCTGATGGACGGCCCCTTCAGTGTGTGGTGACCTGCCGTTCCCAGGCTGCATGTGGCGATGAGACGCGGGTCAGGGGCCTGTGGCCGGCGGGGACAGAGCAGCTGGAACTCGCCAGGGCTGCACATACCCCTTCTTGCTACTTCTTCTTGTTTGTTTGTGTGGACTTTGGTCCCTAACATAACTTTCACTCTGAATAATACAAATCCCACTAAAGTATGGTGTTACGTTTAAAACCACAGAACTGCCCTGCATCGTCTGGAAGAAACGATTCAGTCTTTTATCACACACCCTTTCCAAACAAAGATGAAAGGTGTCTAGTGACATCGTCAACATTTCAGGTGTCACCACCAGTTCTAGGACCATCTGGCAGCTTGTCCCGGTCCCTGTGCGGTGGCAGGCAGAGCTGCATTACATGGAGGTCTCTGGAAGCAGGCGCCCTGCGGGTGACATTGGAATGCCAACGTAGTTTTATGATTTGCAGCGGGAACCCCCTGGACCTTTCCGAACGGCACTGATCTCGAGGTTTGCCTGTCCTACTGAAGAGCATGCGGACAGGAAACAGCAGAGGTGGGGCCTGGTGGCCCCACTCACATCCACAAAGATACCGCTCGCCTTTCCGAAGCGTGCTGGGGGTCAGGGCTGAGCCGCACACAGAGGGCTTTGGCCTTATTGTGAATTTTTTAATGTCATCATCATAACATTATTTATTTAAATGTAGTTATTTTGGTATTTAATTTTTTTTTTTTTTTTAAGAGAAGAAGAAAACCCTGTATTTTCCTGGTGGAACAAAACAGCTCAGAATGGTATATTTAGGCGATTTAAAACCATTTATTATTTACCTAAAGACCAAATATGATAGATCTAAGTATTGTGTGTCGGTCCACAGTATGGAGCTGTCACAATGTTACTGCAGATATGCATATTAAAGATGATGCGATCCCTACACACTAGCCGGATTTATAACTCAGCCATGTGAGAAATGAGCATGTCACGTGACCATGGCTGCCCATGACAGCCGCAAAGGCTCAGCCTGCAGCATGCTAGGAGCCGACGCGTCGCCACTGCACAGCCCTCGGCTTCCAGGCGGCTCACAGAACCTGGGGTGCGGTTTTGTTTGCCTGTTCGGGAGGTTGGCAGTTCGCATTTGGATTTCCCTGTGTGGGGGCGGGTCATGCAGAGCCAGCAAGCAGCAGCAGCCGTGCCCTTGGGCAGAGGACCGGCGGGGAACTCGCGGCAGGTGCCGGACAGAGCACCTTCTGGAGCTGTTTGCAGGGCAGCACGCTCAGTTTGTCATCATCCAGGAAGTTGGGGGTGGGGGACAGTCCTGTCGGGGTGATGCTAGGGGTTGCCCACTTCTCAGCGTTTATGGCGGAGCAGCAGGAGCTGTCTGGCTCTAAGGGCAGTGTGGGCGTCAACTCTGAAAGGTGTGCCTTTGTTCAGGTGTGAGGCTGTCTTTCCCGTTGGCTTCAGGTATCTTATTCACTGCACGCAGCCATCGAAGACTGGTGCAAAGGGCGGAAACAAAACCACGGATCAGCAGGTACCATGTCCCGGTTCTTCCTGGCCTCTGAGGCATGTTTGTGAAGTTGGACCCGAGTTCTGAATTCCAGAGGGCCCTCGGCACCCAGGACCACGAGCGGCCAGGACACGGCTGCCGGGTGCCTTCGGAGCTCCCAGTCTAGTCTCGTAACCAGAGATGTGCTGCGGTGAGCTCCCGGCTGCCCGCGTGTGATTCCTAAATGCTTTAGTTTCACAAAGTCTCTGCTTTGACCTTTGCGCCAAACCTCTGAGCCCCCTCAGGGAATAGAAGGCTAATGTCCAGTTTGGCCTGAACCAAACAATAGTACAAAAGGGAAAACTCATGGAACCCAAATCACATGTTGCATTCCAAAGCGTCCACGGCTGATTTGCAGATTGATCTTCCTCTTGCTTCGGTGGAGCATGTGTGTGGACAGTTGAACTCAAGTACCCGCCCCACTTCTGTCCTTGTCCTCTGCTAGTGTACCAGAGTAGTCGGTAGTTACGGTCAGGAGGGGGGTGGGGGCAGGGGCAGGACTTGGGATTTCTAGGCATGTGACACAGGATTAAGTAACAGTCTTGAAGTCCTTACTTACACCATTCTAGAAAGTACAGTGGTGATTTGTGTTCAAACATACGGAATTTTAACAGAAAAGTACCAAGTTCCTGAAATTCAATAAAATATTTTTATTAATTTTAACTGAATACAGAGTGTCATTGTCACTGGTAGGTAGAAGCTTCAGCTGCCTCTTTTTTGCTTCCTAGCTTGGTGCTCTCAGCAGGCCACCGGCCTAGGAGTGCAGGCAATCCCCCTCCCGCGTCGTGTGGGAGGTGATGACCAGTGCTAAGAGCTCTGCCAACAGACTAAGGTTTGCAGAGTCCGGCGGTGCTCACAAGCGCTCCCAACTTTGTGGCGGTGGAGTCTGAAGGCTTGTTCTGAAGTTACCATTTCTTCTGCAAACTTCCCCTTTGACCTTAAGGATCAAAATCATTGCAGGTACTTTGAGACCTGTTCTTCCCTGAGAGGAAAACCTTCCTAACTGGGCACTCACATTGCTACCCCTGAATGCTCTGACCACCTCACTTCTAGGACTTGTGCCATCTGGGCAGTTGGCGTGCTATGGCACTGAGTGGGGCCCTGAGATAGTGTTGGGGTTGGGGGAGGTGGTGATGGGGGCGCCCTATGTTGATGCCCTGATGACAGTACAGATTAGCATGAAAGGTTTGCTCAACATGTTGGGAGCCCTTAGCTGAGCAAGCGGTCAGTCACACCCTGTTCACAGTGTTAGCTCTGTTGTCCACATTGTAACAGTACATCCTCTGACAGGCACCACAGTTCAACCTCCCCCTCCTCTCCGGAGAAACCACTGCAGTGCGCCTTTGAGTCAGCTCTTCCAGAACGTAACGGCTTTACTATTTTTAAAGGAAGTTGAAGGTAGGAGGACTTCAGATACAGAGCACTAGTAGGAACTCTACACAGAGAGTTAACGCGGCAGAAAGCCCCCGAGATGGAGCCGTGGCGTGTTTAGGAGGAGGTAACGGGGTATGGCGTGAACTTACAGGCAGTCACCGTGTAGCAAGTTAGTTCAGGGTTAAACACAGATGAAAGAAACCCCAGTATATTATCATCAAACCAGCAGAACCTCCCGTAGGTGTTCATGGACATACCGCACTGGGTCAGCATACCCCCTATGACCCCCTCTACATATGTCCACAGCAGTAAAAAAGAATTCAGAGTGGGCCTCGTGTGGCGCTGGACAAGAGGGCTGCCTGTGCCACTGCAACTCCTGTTTTTACAGACGTCCTGCAGAGGTTCCGTGAAATAAGCATACTCTACCGTCTCTTCAACGCCAACAGCGACCAACTATTACACCTGAAAACACTCAACAGCAGCAGACAGTGGAGGGGTCAAAACTAGAGCCGCCGCCACGTAGCGGTCCCTGTCCTGGAATACTACTTTGTAGCTCCCGCGCAGCAGAACGAATTAGGGGTGAACATGAAAGTCCCCCAGAGGAGCCCCCCCTCCACGTCATCTGACCAGATGGCTGGGAAGGGGGGAGTCCATAGGGCAGACGGTGGGGAGAAACCGTGAAGGTGCACTCCTGCAATGAGCAGCCCCTGCAGACGCTACAGACTCAAAACCATCTTCCCCGAGAACAGTCAGGAAAAGGGGCACTGTCAACCAAAGGGACAGGCAGTGAGAGGGACCCCCAGCACTTCTCTCACCATTTTGTCTCCAAGCTGGACCCACGCAGAAGTGTGTGACAGCACAAGGATGCTGAAAGTCTGTAGCAAGGACTGAAAAGGGAGCGGCAGGGAGACCACAGGGAGAGGAAGCTGCGTGTGGCATCCTCCATTTGGTCCCAAGCTACACTGCACGGGATGGACTTGGCCCGGCCTGAGCCAGCCCAACAAAGACCTGAACTGCAGTGTGTCCAAATTCCTGAAGAGCACACCCGGTGCGGACCGAATAGCTGTACACAGACTTTCAAACTGACACCAGAACCACAGCCCAGAGAAGGTGGGTGGGCACTTGCAGTCGGAACCTCACTCAGTAACCAGTTCCATAATACACAAAATATCCAGGATATAATCAAGAATTACTCAACATACAAAGAACCAGGAAACTGATCTATCAAGAGAAGCAACAATGGACAGGTGTCAACTTCAACCCAACCCAACCCAGATGTTGGTATTTTCAGAAAAAGGCATTAGAGAAGTAATAACCATGCTCTGTGAAGTCCAGGTAGTCCCTAAGTCATGGCATGGCTCAGGTTACCAGGAGCAGCACTGACGACCACTGGTGATTTTTGTTTCACACCATTAGTGATACACAAATATGTACGATGTTGC